TTATCAACCCTAAAAAGCCTGAAAAATTAAGAATTGTTTTTGATTGTGGGGCTGTCTATCAAGGTTGTTCTCTTAATGACCAGCTTTTGAGAGGACCGAATACTGTAAATAGTTTAATTGGTGTACTTCTGCGATTCAGATTAGGTAACGTAGCGTTGGCTGCTGATATCGAGGAGATGTTTCTTCAAGTAAAGATCCCGAGACAAGACAGGGGAGCATTTCGTCTATTGTGGTGGGAAGACGGTGATATACGACGAACGGCTAAGGAATATTGTTTAACAGTTCATCCGTTTGGAGCCGTTTCCTCCCCCTTTTGCGCTAATTTTGCTCTTAAGAAGACGGTAGATATATTCGGTAAGGAATTCAATGAAGATATCCAGGATGTCGTAGATAGGAGTTTCTATGTCGACGACTATTTAGCCTCTATTGATAATGTACAAGACGCAATTGAGATGGCAAAGGCCCTTGGTTCCCTCCTCAGAAAAGGTGGATTTAGATTGACCAAGTGGATAAGTAACTGTTTACAAGTTCTTGAATCAATTCATCCAGAAGAGAGAGCAGAAGCCGTAAGAGAGATTGACTTTGAAAGACTTCCTACTGAACGCACGTTGGGATTATTTTGGAATACTATGGTTGATTCGTTCGAATTTAAAGTTCGCATACCGAAACGCCCCCTCACTAGGCGAGGTATATTGTCAAGTGTAGCCTCACTTTATGATCCTCTGGGATTGGTAGCACCGTTTATACTTCCCATGAAGCAGTTACTTCAACGTTTAGGTAAATTGGGACTAGGATGGGACGAAGAGATTCCAAATGAGGAAAGCAAACGTTGGTTAGAGATTTTAAGTGAATTTCAGAGGGTTGAGAACGTTAGTTTTCCACGTTGTGTATTGTTTCCGCAATCAGATCGTTCGCTCCTGGAACTTCATATTTTCAGTGATGCATCGGAAACTGGGTATGGTGCGGTAGCATACGTTCGCTCTTACATTTCTGACACTAAAATATGTTCTCGTCTTGTTACGGCTAAGGCAAGAGTAGCCCCCTTGAAGGTCCAAACTATACCGCGCTTGGAACTTACGGCAGCAGTTTTAGCAGCTCGCATGGGATACCAACTGCAGTCAGAATTAGATATTAAGTTTGCAGAGGTTAAATTTTGGACGGATTCCATGGTTGTCTTGCACTATATTAGAAATGAGAAAAGCCAGTTTAAAACATTCATAGCAAATCGAATTTCGACTATTCACAGTCTTACTAAGGTGGACCAATGGAGATTCGTACCTTCTAAAGAAAACATAGCAGACTTTGCATCCAGAGGGGTGAAGTTTGATATTGATGATGTCAAGGTTTGGGAGGAAGGTCCACATTTTCTCAAGAAGCCGAAGGAGTGTTGGCCTGCCGCTGATGTACAATGTCCTGAACCCCATCTCTTGGAAATAAAGAAGGCAATGTCGGCGCATGTAATGGCCGAAGAATCCACTGTTGATCAACTTATTAATTATTATTCAGATTGGACTAGATTACTTAAGGCTGCTGCGTGGTTAATCCGATTTAAGCGATATTTATTGGTAATGCGTTCTGGTAGAACTGATCTGTCTCTACAGGTGGGCATGCTTAGAGTTGATGAGTTAAATTTCGCTTGTTTAGAATTAATGCGATATGTCCAACGCATAGTATTTCGGAAAGAGATTGAAATGTTATTGTCCGATACCATTAGCAATGTAAAGATAAAAAATTCGCCGTTACGAATCTTAAATCCAATGATGATAAACGGATTATTATGTGTTGGTGGCCGCTTTCAAATTAGTTCCTGGCCCGAGTCGAGGAAGCATCCTATAATATTACCATCGAAGCATACAATTACACATTTGATTCTACAGCACTACCATACTTTGGAGGGACATGTTGGAGCTACACAGGTAATGGCAACGGTCCGAGAAAGATTTTGGGTGCTGAGGGGTGGTGTAGCCATGAGGAGGGTGATAAAGAATTGTGTTTATTGTAAAAGGAGGAACGCCCGTCCCATTCAACAACTAATGGCACCATTGCCTCCGGTCAGAATAGAAGGTGGTGACTACCCATTCTTATCAGTTGGGGTAGATTATTTTGGGCCCATTATGGTTAAACATGGTAGAAGTATTGAAAAGCGATATGGTTGTGTATTCACTTGCTTAAGGTTGAGAGCTGTGCATCTGGAGGTGGCATATAGCTTCACCACAGACTCATTTATCATGGCACTAATGAGATTTGTCAGTAGGAGAGGCTATCCAAAAGAAATATACAGTGATAATGGATCAAATCTGGTGGGAGCTGAGCGTGAACTAAGAAGAAGTCTTCAGGGTTGGGTGCAGGAGCGTATACACTCTGCATTACTAAGAAAGGGGATTGACTGGCATTTCAATCCTCCGGCTGCTAGTCATTGGGGAGGAGTGTGGGAGCGCATGATTCGCTCTGTACGAAGGGTATTGGGTGCTCTTGTAAAGGAACAATCTTTAACAGATGAATGTCTTGAAACTTTCATGACAGAGGCTGAGCGTATAATTAACAATCGACCTTTAGTTCCCGTTACAGACGACTCGAACGATTTCGAGGCCATAACACCGGCAAAACTATTGCTATTGAGAGAGAATGTCGAGGAATTCACTTACACTCTACCTAATGACAGATTTTCTAAGAGATGGAAGCAGGCGAGTTACTTGGCACAGGTATTTTGGAAACGTTGGTCTAAAGAATATGTTTCGCTATTGCAACGTAGATATAAGTGGACCCAACTAGAGAGGAACATACGAGAGGGTGACTTAGTAATGATATGTTCCGAGTTCTCCGAGAAAAATAAATGGCCCTTAGGTCTAGTGCAGAGAGTGTTACCAAGTAGGGATAGATTAGTGAGGCAGGTAGAATTGAGGACAAGAAAAGGGATCATAGTAAGAGATATTAGAAAACTGTGCCTTCTTGAAGCCGTAGATGGTAGGTAGCTACTCGGATCCCTAGGCGTACTGGTGTAAGTCCTAGGGATCACGAGATTTTTGGTGTATTGAGTGTTTGTTGTTGATTGTTTGTGATGCATAAACTTGGATTCTTGTTTATTTAATTGTCTGTGAAAAGAACCAAGGTTCTTTTGGTCGGGAGTGTTACGGGAGAACTGAAGACTTTTGACGGATTAAAACCTTTTATTGTACATTAATAATTTACTGTGCTTTTGGATGTAATTGTTTTACTTAACTTTTGAACTTGTTTGTTTATATCATTATTTCGGACATTTTGGTTTGTCTTTGGTTTGGTATTTTGGTGCTCCTTTTGTCTTTGGTTTGGTATTTGGGAGTTTTGCTCCGGGAACCTACAAAATTGAAGGTTTGTTTTGTAATTGTTATAATTATTGTTATTAGAACGACATTTGGTCGATTACTTGTGAATTACGAATAAACTTGGTACCTGATTTGGAGTTTTGGTTCCTTTGCCTACTTGGGTTCGTAATTTGCAAGTAGATCGATAGTCCGTACTTCAATAACTGGAACGAGCAAAACTTGGACGTAACACTTTTGTACTTGTTGAATGCTCGATTTCGAATTCTAAATACAGTACATTCGTTGTGCCTGTGTCTTCTTAATTCAATTGCGTTAATCCTGGGATTCCTAATTCATACTATAATTAGAATACTATATCTTCCTCTGTCATTTGAGACACATTATCTTCCGTAGTTAGGTTGAGAATCCAATGATGCGTTCTATTCCTGTGATTGGTATGCAAAAACAGTCTTTTAGGCTGTGTGATGACACGTTGTGTCGAATGCTTTTCATATTTCCGTTGCGCTGCTCGAACTTGGCTTATACGCCTATCTCAGACCGACATGCAGTGTTCCGTCGTATTTTGTTTGTTGAGGTTGGTGGCGATGTTTCAACGTTTCCTCTGTTTTCCTACCGAAAGTCGAATATCACTGTTTATTCAGATATGGCTGTTCTTCTGTTTTGGGATTGTGGAGAGTATAAATAATTACTTGATTGTATAACCACTGGGAATGAGTCCATGTCTCTCCTATCAATGCGTCAGAATCAATTTTCTAATTTTCCGTCTAGTCAGCCGAGTTGATCACCTTTGCATGTCTCTGTCACATGTTAAGATGTGCCGAGGCATCTGCTCGATAAACTAGATCAGCCATGAATTTGCATTAGATAGCCAAATGATTAATTCTCGCTACAGGTGGAAGGACCCTTATTTGAATTGAATCATTACATTTTGTGAATGCTAACTCTGAGACAGATGAAGAGTATGACTGGTTATATCTGATGACATCTCTAATGCAGCAGAATAAACTTCAAGAGGTCATGGCTTCTAACATTTTGTTTTCAAAAATTGTTTTAGATGAAACTTCTCAGTTTCTCTAGTATGAAGAGAGTGCAATAAGCCATCAATTGTAAGGCCTTTTAACCTGTTTTATCAGGGTCTGAGTTTATTTTTAAAAAATTTATCCATTACTCATTCTGAACGACGGCATCCTATAAATAAACCAGCGTCTTACCCTTCGAAATTTCAGCCGGCTGCCTTCCAGTTCATAGGTCTCTGAATCATGTGTCTTCACCTTAACCAATTGCGTTGTTAAGGTACAATTTTTATGTACAGGACAACCCTGCCACCAATACCGTTTGGTATTTCATCTCTACAATGTCAGAAACCAAGCAATTAAATTTCACTATCATACAATTCTGATGCTAACTCATTTCATGAAATGCCAGTGACATCAAGGTTTTCCGAATCTACCACTTTTTTGAGCACTGTCATTCTATTTGGCAGACTGTAAACATTCTTATATCATACTTTTAATCCTGCGAAGTGGTTTCCCATATCATCCAGAGTGATTTGGAGATCATTTTATTCCGGACTTTAACACTGTGGACCTGAATCTCCTGAAGATTCACCAATATCTTCAGACCAATAACCTCTCATAAATCTTCATATTAGGTCAACTTCGTATGTAGTTAAAGTACGTTAACGTTTATTGAGTGATACAGGGAGGAAAGGCGGCTAGCTCGAGTAAATACTCGGAGCGCGTTTTTTCAGCAGGTGTTGTTATGCCTGGGTAATTTATCGTAATGTTTATTATAAATGTCAGTCATATCAAAGATACGGCCCTACTGTCTATCTTTTGGAACTGGATTTTATATAGGTAAGAGTACTTGTTATGAAAATTCACTCCTGTTTAAGTTTCAAGAATCATTTCCGAATGAAAGGAAACAACGATTAGCATCTCTCCTATCTATTGCTCCTAATAAAAATCCTCACATACATTATTTTTGTAAGATTTTGCGTTCTGTAATAGTAATCTGCCATGATCTTTCTAGGGCTGACAGTGGACTGTATCAATAATGAAAGGTTCACTCACAAAATAAAACTACTATTATCAGTCTCAGTGACTTCTAGCCAATGTGAACTAAAAGTACAAAGAATGTACCTGATAAAGTTGGACTATTATTATGATTTGATGGTGAATGTCGTGATCGCTGTTAGACCGTGATGTACATATCCAAGCACCCTATTGCCTACTGATAATGAAATAGATGACCTCAATGTAGGATTGTTGCCCATTGATTGTAACATAAATGATCTAACAGACAAAGACATCTTGACGCATTTTACTGAATGAAGTGTCAATAGATACTTAACTCTTTAGTTACGACTGTGATTCCGATTTAGAGTTAGTGCTACGGTTTAGGAATAGAATGTCAAGTTAAGGATTCATGTCTATAGCTAGGATTGAGGTTTTGGATTTAAGAAGTGTTGCAGTTTGCAGTTAGTCTATATTCACCGTAAATACTAACTAACTTCAAGTCCTAAAGTATATTCTAACAGTAACTTCAGGCCACTAATTCTGTATACCGATCCTATTCTTAATTCATAAAATCTGCATCAAAATGCTAAACTTTAAAACCTAATCCTAACCCTGGGTCTCAATCGTAAACTGCAGTACTAAACCAAAATCTTAATTTTAGCAGTATAAATCATCTGTTTATATCCGTTGCATTCTGATTGGCTGAGTAGATTGGACTTATCAGTAATATTTATTGAGTCGCTCGAGCACATCCTTACAGTTTTCGAGAACAGGAACACGGCCTATTTTCCAAAAAAATTCCGTCTCAGAAACCTAGTTTATTCTTTCTTCTCTAAGTTCTCAATAATATTAAACTGTGATTACTCGCAAATCAAAATAACACCTCTCAATATGTACGTACTAATCTTTGCGACAAATGACATTTAATATTCAACTGGGTTGATGTTACATGTGTTTATAAACGCGTATAACAGACGAAATATTGATCCATAACTCAGTATTTAAAAGTCAAGTATTTATCTAACAAGTGACAAGCAGCTCGTCCTTGATATATAACAGCATAGCCACTGCTTTAGTTGTGGATCCAGAAAAGAAAACGGTTAACGTCAGCGCTATTTATTTTTGTCAGCCTGGATTACTTCCATTTCTAGAACTTAAAAGGTCTGCCATTCGGCATTCAAGTGGGCTTCATCAAGGGAATTAAACAGTCAGTTGGAATTACTGCTTTCTGAGTTTATATCTGATTAAGGTGCTACTTAGGAATGATCCTAGATAGTGACTAAATTATTTAAATACCTTTTTTGAGTGTTGTATCAAGAGTTCGAACCTTTCTCCCTCTTAACTCACACTGAAGAGCTGACTATTGCCAGTTTTTAGGCGGAAACGTGTGCCACACAAACAACTTTATAAGCTTGTACTTGATTGACAAGTCGTATAAAATTTGAAGCGGATAGTAATTTGATGCTCATTCTTATCTTGTTTCAGGATGAATATAATGAGGATCTTAGGTATAATTTTTAATTGGAGAAACACATGTAGTTCTAAGTAAAGAAAATTGTCTAAATCATATTAGTCGTGCAACATCACAAGCCGGCAACTTAAAAATCCTTAGTCACCAGATTAAAACCTAGTGATAATAGTACAAGTTCACCACTGGTCTTGAGTGTCACAAATTTTTGTTACTATAATATGGAGGGTACACAGCTGGGAAGTTTCAAGCGGTATCGAAATAGCCGTCCATTAATTTCTGGATAACACCATTTCTTTTTACTCACAGTGCGCTTTTCTTATTTATGCGAATTCTATGACTTTTTATTGTTTCTGTAGGAGATGTGTGACAAACCTTTCTTTTATAACCCCGATATCGATACGAAAATTGCCGGTTTATATGATCTACAACATACAATTGGACGAGGACATTATGCTGTTGTGAAACAAGCACGCCATGTATTTACTGGTGAGAAAGTTGCAGTGAAAGTAATCGACAAGACCAAACTAGACAATGTTTCACGAGATCATTTGTTTCAGGAAGTTGTATGCATGAAACTTGTTCAGCATCCAAATGTGGTTAGATTATATGAAGTTATTGACACGCCAACCAAATTGTATCTCGTTCTTGAGTTAGGTGACGGAGGAGACCTATATGATTACATAACAAGTCATGGCGATGGTCTGAGTGAAAAAGTCGCAAAACGGTATTTTCGCCAAATAGTAACTGCCATTGCTTATTGCCACAAGTTAAGAGTGGTTCATCGAGATCTAAAACCAGAGAATGTAGTTTTTTTCGAGAAACTGGGTTTGGTTAAGTTAACTGATTTTGGATTCAGTAATAAATTTATTCCTGGCACTAATTTAGACACAGCTTGCGGCTCGTTGGCTTACTCAGCTCCGGAGATATTGCTTGGTGACTCATACGATGCTCCAAAAGTGGATATTTGGTCCTTAGGTGTGATATTATATATGCTTGTCAGCGGAAATTTGCCTTTTCAAGAAACAAATGATAGTGAAACGTTAACGAAGATCATGGATTGTGATTATTCCATGCCTTCACATTTATCACCAGACTGTAAACGGCTTATTTCTCGTTTACTAATACGTGATCCACAAAAGCGTGCTCATCTTGATGATATCCTACAAGATGACTGGCTAAAGCTAGATGGTAATGACTTACCTATTGAGCTGTTTTCTGTCCCCTTGATATCTCGTGAACATCTTTCATTTGAAGACCATATGGAGATTCTATCCAAAATGGCTGAGGGTGAACTGGCGTCTGTTGATGAAATACAGTCTACTTTAGATCGTAATGAATACAACCACATAGCTGCTACATACTACTTACTTGCGGAGCGCAAACTGAAACGTAACTACATAGAAGAATATAAACGGTTAGCAAGCCAGTCTCAACTAATTGAAAAACGAAAACAAGAACAACAAAAATGTATCAACTGTGTGTTTGGACTATCTGAAAATGCAAAACAAGTGCAAAATGTTGAAAACAATATAACCCCTAAATCTTTGGTAAATAGTGTGATGGGTTCAAGTACTGCGACGCCAACTTCACGCATTTTAAGTTCTTTAGGCTCATCAAATGTAGAGGATCGTGTCAGGCGTTTCAGTATGATTTTAGAAGATGAAGAAGAAGAGGAAGAAGGTAAAGGGTCTCCAATAGCATCTACTTCATTCGACAGGTATATTGCAGGTATAAATGAGTCAGCGAAAATGGTCAATGATTCAGATGCCTTACACCCCTGTTTCGCTGATACGTCTGAAGAGGCAATGCTAGAAGAAGAGGAAGAAGAACTTGCTACTGTTGCTGGTTTGGCATGCGTTCGTTCTGAACTTTTAACTGATCAAATGGTTAATCATGTATTAAGTATATCCGAATCAGAATTCACATCAAATGTCCATGGAAATGTGGTTTCAACTCGTCCTTGTTCTAGAACAAGTGGTTCTGCAGTTGGAGCATCTGATGGCGCTGAGTCAGATGTTTCTCTTAGTCCCTGGAATGCAAATGGGACGGGTTTTGTAAGTTCTTTGAATCGAGTTACATCCACCACTCGTTCTCTTCCACCTGTTGAAACTCGAAGAAAGAATACCTATAGACGAGGACTTATATCGCACCGTCCACTTACTACAGTGAAGAGCAGTCCGCAGCTTCTGAAACATTCTGCTGAAGAAGATTGGAACATCCATACCTCAATAGAAACCAATAATTCCCTCCACATGGATAAACGCAGAAAGAAATTAGGAGAATGTTTTATACAAAACCCGGCTGTCTATACTACAGCTGAAGATAGTTTAGGAATCCGATCTTTGCGTAGTTCGTATAACTTGTACCGTAGTATCAAATATGTCGACGATCAGTTGATTGGCCTGAGACCTACAAGTTTTTACACGACTGCAACCCAACAAACATATTCTGGAGCTCATAGTCCAGCGTGGACACGAAGGTTTTTGAATACACCTGCATCGTCGTCTCGTCCAGCAAGTATCGGGAGCTGGAATGCTGTTCTCAACATGAGTTTAGTGAGTGATCAGCGCCGCCCATCATTCTGTTCATCTCCTGTTGAGCCACAAATAGGCACCATCAATAGAAGAAAGGTTCTTTATTCAAATCACAGCCAAGGCCCATATGTTTTCAACAAGGGGATTAATCCCGACCGAAGATGCAGTGGACCTCCAGGTTTATTGTTAGCAGTCTCAGGATTGTATTATCCAGGTTCAGGTGTTACGTTACCCAGTCGCTCAGACTCAGATACCTCATTTCTAGAACAGCATGACACTAGTCATTTACCCCCTAACTTGGACCACTCTTTTTCTCCAGAAGAGCCTTCAGATGAATCTTACACGCAAAATGGGACCAAGTGTTCAGGTACAATTACCGAAATAAGTGATATCATTAAGAATAACCATCGCAGTATTTTACCGTCAATCTCTGGAGTAAATAAAAGAGGTTCTACTAGATCTCCGCATCGCACTCTTAGCAATTCTCGTAAAACTGCTAGTTGGTGTAGTTCCGCGCCTATATTGTGCGAAACATCTGAACAGCCCCACTTAACTTATGTACCATCGAATAGTATTGGGCTGACCACTTTATCACTTGAAAGTAACTCTCAGTTGGGTGGTTCGAATACGGTTCGAGAACATTGCACTCCGATACGTGAAGAAGATGACGAAGTAGTACGCTCTGGAGAATCTACTTTTAAGACACCCAATCTGTTATTTGGCTTGAATCACCGAAGGAAGTCTGAATCGTCAAGTATGCATACAAGTTCAACTCTTTTCACGACATCCAATATTACCCGTGGTGGATTCGCAACTTTGGCTGAATCGGAGTCAACTTCAACCATTAGTCAGTTACCCAACATAAGTGCTCAGCGAAACGATGCTTTACAAAATGGTGGCAGTTCACAATGTACTACATCCAATTTCTCACTTAGCTCTCTCGCAACAAGTTTGCGAGATTCACGCTACATGATCGACATTATACGAGGAACATTTGAATTACAATGTCAGTATAACCGTAGATTTACTAATTCCATTGCTGGAGTTAGCAGTTGTGAATATAATTCTAGCCGAGCTAGTACCTCAACATCTGTTCGTAGCCTCACTGCTATATCAGAAAATTTCCCTATCAACAATCAACTAAAAGAAGATTTTCCTTTACAAGATTCACAAAGACTCCCCCTTCATCATCGTGATTTACTCCATCCATTGGAATCCACCTTAAAAGCTTCTACAAAAAACAATATTTTACAGAATTCCAATATGGTCAAAAATTCTATGAATAGTTGTTTGAATCGTGATTTTCTTGTTACAGGTTCATCTCAGAAAAGTAGAATGAGTTTACCAGCTAGTATAAGTGGCATTACAAACCCAGATGTTGCCTGTTCAGTGAGTCCTGTTTTAGAATCGAATGAAAACAATTTTCCCTCCTCTCTTTCTCTTGAGCATAGTTCACCTGTAAGATTTGACAATCTTCTTACTCATAACCATAGGAATGGGTCTTGTAAATCTGTTAGTCAATCTACAACTTCATTTAAACGTCCTTCACATTTGTCTTCAGGACGAGAATCTTTTAAGAAGTCGAACATCAGCTGTCTTCCTGATCATGGTTGTAGTATAGTTGAAAACATGAATTCAGGAACCCATAATAATAGTAATAATAATAATAACATCAGTCATTATTCTGAGTTGTCAAGTGAATCCGTTAACCAATGGACCCATAAATCAAATACGCCAAATCATAAACAAGTATCATCGTTTATACTAAGCAAACATAGAGCTAGATTAGCATGTTGCTCAGTTTCGTGATAATGACTATAATTTTGTCTTCCATTATTTACATATATTTTGTATAAATAATTTTCTTTTAGTTTTTAAAATCATTTGTTTAAATCACCATTGTGTTTTCTCTCTTTATTTTGTCTCTTCTTTCTCTCTTACCCCTGTTCATGATCATAAAATGAGATATTATTTACGTTTTTATGGTATTTATTTCAGTTCATAGTTCTGCTTTGTTTCACTTTCCTGTATGCGCTTAATTATGTATTACATATATACTTTGTTTCATTTTCTCTATATATCTAGTCCATTGTTCTTTTTGTTGACTAAGCAGCTTAATTACTACAGTAATCTTACCCAAACATTTGAAATGGTATTCTCCCTGTTATTATTGTCATTATTATTACTGATTATGTTACTAAGATCATTCTCTTGCCTATGATCCATCTACTACTACCAGCTAGTCGTACATTGTTTACTCGCACATTTCTAATCAGATATATTTGATCATTCATATTTTAGAAAAAGAAACAAACTGACTATTTTGACTATACACTTTTTATCTTTCTATATTATATTGATATTTTAAATTGATTGGGTATTATGATTTGATTAAAACAAAATTAACCAGTGTCTGTATATTTGATCTTGGCTTCTTATACTCTGCTTACAAAATTATAACAAGTAGATAAGTGTATAAATACTCTTTCTATTTTAAGAAGAAGAAGAAAAAGATTCTCTTTATCTTATTTTTGTTTCCGAAACTTTTACTTAAAAGTATGTTGTGGTATCTGTGCATGGATCATTGATATTCTTGAGACTAATAATAATAATAATAATAGTAATAATCAAACATTCAATTATACCTTATATCTATGTGTATAGATACACTATTCTACATACCGCTTTTCTCATTGTCTCTGTAAATATAATACATATAGAATGAATATCATTCGGTTCATGACTAAATTATTATGTTTTTCTTTCATTTCTTCCTATTCTTCTTCTTCTTTTTCTTATTATATTGTTATTTGTCATCAACGCTTTTTTTGCTGCATATTATACCTAATTCTGTAAATATTCGCCTATCTATATGTCTATTGTATCCCGGTTAATCTTGTTTGTTTTTTTTTAAATTTTATTTTGAGCTTGTTTTCCAAAGTGTATGTCTCTTTATTTAATTCTTATGAGTATTTTAAATATATATATATATATATAAATCCACTTGATTTATTATGATAATTTTGTTCTAAAGTTGATTTTATTTGTTACTAGATTTCCAGTCTTGAATATGGTCTCGATTAATTGGAGATTAATTAATTTGATTGTTTGAAAATCTTATTTACGCCTGTTGCTCCTTGTGGAGGAGCATAGGTCTCCCCCCAACACTCTCTATTCATCCTTTTCATATCTGCTTCTATTTCTCGACGTAATGTGTTCTTTGGTCTTCCTATTTTCTTCTTTCCTTCAGGGTTCCCAGTTAGCGTTTGTTTTATGATACAGTTTGGTGATTTCCTCAATGTATGTCCTATCCACTCCCAGCGTCTTTTCCGAATTTCTTGTTCATCTGGTTTGTACCCCTGACACAGTAGATTGTTGCTAATGGTATCCGGTTAGCGAACATTGAGTGTCTTGCGTAGACAGTTGTTCATGAATACTTGTAACTTTTTGATGATGGTTGTTGTAGTTCTCCAAGTTTCAGCTCCATACAGTAGAACTGTCTTGACGTTCGTATTGAAGATTCTCACTTTGATATTGGTTGACAGTTGTTTTGAGTTCCATATGTTCTTCAATTGTAGGAATGCGACCCTTGCTTTGCCAATCCTCGCCTTTACATCTGCATCTGAACCTTTTTGTTCATCGATGATGCTTCCCAGGTATGTGAAGGACTCTACATCTTCCAGAGTTTCTCCATCGAGAGTGATTGGATTACTGTTCTCCGCTTTGAATTTGAGGACCTTGGTTTTCCCCTTGTGTATGTTGAGGCCTACTGATGCAGAGACTGCTGCCACACTGGCTATCTTTACCTGCATTTGTTCGTGTGTATACGATAGGAGGGCTATGTCATCTGCAAAGTCCAAATCGTCTAATTGGTTCTGAGCTGTCCATTGTATTCCGTGTTTCCCCTCCGATGTCGAGGTCTCCATAATCCAGTCGGCCACCAGAAGAAAGAGGAAGGGAGAGAGTAGACAGCCTTGTCTGACTCCGGTCCTTACTTGGAATGCATCTGTCAGCTGTCCTCCATGCACAACCTTGCACTGTAGTCTGTCGTATGAATTCCGGATAGTGTTGCAACCCTCTCAGGAACTCCATAGTGTCGAAGAAGTTTCCATACCGTTCTACTATTCCTAACGCTAACCAGAAAAAGTAATTCAAACCATTGTTTAAAAATAGGTTTTAATGAATGATATTCTGGATATAATGATAAATTAATACAGAACGCCGTATTGTATGTAGAAGGTATAGGTATAGCACTAAATTCTGTGGGAGGATATGGTTTGTAAATTTTTTCGTAAAGGAAATTTATCACTAAAACGTCGATATTTTGAATCAGCAGTTAAGGACCGTTATTTTCTTAGTAGGTGAAGTAGGATGTCATTTTTGTGAATTAATGGTTTATGTAAGAGAGTGTTTCCAAGATAGCTACATACTGCAGAAAAAAACAACAGTGAAAATTACTGTGATAGGTCTGACTTATTAGGTTGTATTATTAGAGGATAGTGTAAGTGTAAAATATCTACTAGGGAGGAAGTTTCAGTTGTGCGCAGTTATAGTATAAAACAAGATAATGAGTAATAGGACTGTTCAGTAGAAATTACAGAGTTTACATAATGCATATACATAACCGATCGTCCATTTACATCTCGCTGAGTGATTTGCATTTCAAACTTGTTATCAACTGTTCTGCCCGCTCCGTACTTACGATGTACTGAAACTCGTCACTTCGTGTGATGGCTGTGACAACTTCGAGGCTACATTCTACTTACAAGCGATCTTGTGGGTAGCGTCCACCAAATTAGCTATGATCACTTTTAATGTTCTTATAATTCCACTAATCGGACGGAATATAGTTACCAGTGTAAGCATTTTCCAGGTGGTTTAAGAGGAAAGGTAATCATCATCGCAGCCAACAGATAATGGTATTAGTCTTATTTCACGGACAAATTATCCCATGGTATCGATGATTTATTTGCTAAGTCATTATTATAAACAGGGTTTGAAACGAAAGAGTTACGAATGTTATGACTAAATGTTTCTCCATATTGGACTGCATTGGTGGTTGTAATATTTTTAAGGGAAAGTTTAGTTCAAGTATGTGGTTCCTCAAAGGGTCGAGACCAAGTCTAGTAAATACAGGTTTATATGTTGAGGTATAGTCATTCCTGGTAATCCAAGGTGTAAACCGCCCTTGGACAGGTTCCAACCTTAGTTCATTCTTAATGTAAACATTACTTAAAATAAAAGTACAATATTCTTAGAGTGGTCGGACATTGTTGCGGAGGTCATATTATTTATTTATTTAATTACGCTAACTTGATTCCCAGTATTTATCGAATGTTAACTCTGTAAACTATGCGAGACCAGTGTAGGCTAACAAATATATATATAGACAACTGTCCTTAATTAACGCCCTCAGTATGAGTAATCCATTTTATAGGAATATTTTTACAATCCCCAAGAAACCAGGATTATGTTATGGCTCATTCTCGCACAAAGTATGTTATTGACTTTGTAACGAAAAGATAAATCGGCCAATGATAGGAAGGCAAATATCAGTGACACTAATACATACGGATTCCCAAGCCATTGGGTCAATAATACATCTAAATTGTAAAACAGGACTTTTGAGGTTAGTTCCATCAACAGTGTTTATTAAATGAAGACATAGCTACTGGTTTCAGCTTAGTTTGACCTTCAGTTTTAATAAGACCTAAACTCAGTATGTACCGGTCCAAATTACTGTGGAGTAGTTGATTGAAGTAGATAAATTCAAATGGTAGTTAAATTAATAATATTACTAATAGCTAAATGCAGACAACTTAGTACGTGAATTATGAATTCCTGTGGAGTTCATCAATGCTGGCAGTGAGACATTAACTTTCGATGATGGTCATACAATATCACGAGTATAATGAAATTGATAATCTACACCATAATATGTTAGATAAGTGATAGAAAGTTAATATACTTGTCACAAGCCTTTAAAGTCCTGGCTTGGAACTCTTGTAGAACTGTAAATGCCTTCTGTTAATTAATCACAAACTAGATAGAAACAACTATCCAGGAATGTCTGATTTTCAGTGATTAAATAACTTAATTTAGCCTATGAAGAAAACTATCTCAAAATTTGTTACTCATTAATTATTTGGAAAAGTTGATAGTCAACTCTATTTCAAGTCTGATTAAATTCTTGCCACCTATTGTTGACTGTGATTCATTTAGTAAAATGTGAATAGTATCTGTTAGGAGCTGGGTAGTTACACTAAGCATCTAGTCAATAGATCGCAGGTTCAAAACCTTCACCACGTCTACTTTAGTTGGAAAACACGGGTGATATTATCATTAGTTGCTATATATTAAAATTATATCTTCAGCCTCATTGGATAAGCTTGTACTTAGTAAATAAGTTACCTTATATTATATCTACTAAAGAACTATATACTGTTTACAGCGTGAACAACCAAAATACGATGGTGGTCGGTTACTATGACATCCACTATGTTGTCATTTTCTACTCGTTTTCAACCAGCTATGTGATTATAAATACATGCTATTGCATTTTAATATAAATTATCGAAGTCGTAAATGATTCCCTCTTCATAGAATAACTAATTATTGTTAAGTATTAAGAGTGTAGTTAGCTTGTTGTGACTTGCTGATCGGAGTGGCTTTTATTGTGCATGATTTGTCATTATTTCCTGTTCAACTAAACATTATTATCATTATTGTTATTGTGGTGTGTGCTACTGATATTGACAAATTTAAGTAGTATGTGACATCAGTCGAAAGTGGAAACCCTGGTAACAGAAGGTTGAGAAGATCGAATTGAAGAGAACGGGAATAGATAGTGATTGGTAAGGAAATAAAAGAACAATGAAGTACGAGACAATTGATGGAAATTTCGCAAATGAATTATTTACTGTATTATTCTCAGAATTTGCCACGAGTTTCTGAAATTTAACCATTCGTGTCTGTGTTCCCGTTCACTGCACTAATACTACTTATACTGCTATTGTTATTATTACTGTTATTATTGATATGGAAATAAGCACATGATCAGGATTGTAAGGTAATTCCTATGAATTAATAATAACAACTTTAATCTTTAGTAGAACAGTTACATAATGTTTGTTATGGAGATCACTGTTAATTCTGCTTGCAACCTGATCTTTAAGTTAGAATCACTAAGCAACATATACTTGATGTAATTAAATGTTTATGATATATATGGCGAATTTGAGAAAGCTAGCTTAATTTCAAACTTGGAATTGGATATATTAACCAAATGTTCATTTTTTATCAAGTAGACCTGAATCCTACTGATGTCCAACTGTGATTACAGTTTCCGACTTTAATGAAATATTCAAATCAGCTAATCGATAAGTTTTGTGACAGTGCTCGTCATTAAATAAAATAAAAAAAGTATATATAAGCCTTGTGAATCCTCTTTACCAAGCACTACTGACCGAATCAGAGTTCATTGCAAACTGTTACCAGAACTGTCACCAAGACATGTTTATGAGGGTTTCCACTATCATAAATATTTCAGAGATGATTCTTTCAACCCGTAACTTTTTAGAAATATATCTCCTACCAAGAGTTCAATCAATCGAATTATAATATAAAGAAAGTGCAGTCTTGTTTGCTGAAAACTGACAAAATGCAATTTTTTGATCTCCGTGGGCAACCGTGCAAGCATTTTCGGAATAGGTTTATCTTCTAAATGTAAAATGTTGCTTCAGGAATGGTTTATGTCAACCCCTGAACTAATGATAGGGAGTGAAGTAGTTGATTGCCTTGACCATCTTATTTATCTTGAAAGTCTTTTCAGTCCGGACGGGCTAGTGTTTGACAAAATTCTGAAAAAGGTTCGAAAAGTTCAATCGGCCTTTTCCAACTCTCATCACTTGTGGCAAAGGCTAGAGGGTTGGGCATAGGGTTAGCGTCCCCATCCTGTAGAAAACTAACTCGCTAAAACAACGCTCATCAGAAAAAATAATTCAAATCATTTAAA